TTTGGTTTTTTTTTTTTTTTTTTGGCTTCTTTTTGCTTTTTAAAATAGTGATTTCTTTCTCCAGGTATTTATGATGGCCTGTGGATTCAGGAATTTCAGTGGAACCAAGTGACCTGTGGAATTGGTTTAGAATTTAGCGTCCTGTCCCTGTGCCCTGTGAAGGTAGGGCTTTAGCATTCAGTCTGGCCTTGTGTGTATTGTAGCCACCCAGGTGCTTTTGAGATCTTTCCAGTGCATTTGGGAAAGAATTGAGTGAATGAAGAATGATCTTCCTTATTTGGTAGATTTGACCATATTTGTTTATATTCTGCACTTTAGAAAGAAAACAGTGTTAATCTCTAGTCTAAAGCAAACTGAGTCAGTGGGAGGGGTCTAGGCTACTACTATTGCTTTCCCCAGTAGATTTAGATAAGGGATTTTGTTTTGAAACTTTTTGTGAGCTCTTTTAGAAAGCATTACTTTGGGGTATCAGGAGGAAAACAGTATTGCTAGCCAGTTTGGTTTCTAAAGTGATTTAATCCCATTTGTGCTCTTGTATTTTCTCCTGTGGCCATAAAAAAATCCAAAGCCTCGAGTGATTGCCTTCTCCTCACTTTAAGCATTGACATTATCTTAATACAGAAACGCCTAGTAGAAAATGTGTGGTTGACCTTTCTATAAAAATATGCTTTCAGGTTTCTTCTGGAATGTGATGTCTTGGTCCACTTAAATAAGATGTGATTGAAACTCAAGGTTAAACTGGCTCTAGTCCTGTGCTGTGTTAGGTGACTAGAAGCCTCTTCTTCGTGTAACCAGCTCCTGTTTCTGCGTGAGCCTTAGTTATATTTGAACTGGCTGGCTTTGAGTCAAGGCCAGTTCTAGGAGGGGATCTGGGGTGTTTCAGTGTTCGGTGGGGGGGATGAAAAGTGATCCCAACCTTCAAAATCATTTGGTCACCCGTGACCTTAAAATGCTGCCATTGTGGTCAAATGACAAACGTATTTGCCCCCAAATTACAGATTTGTTTAACCAACGCTTTTGAAATGTGATGAAGCCACAGCCAACATAAGCACTTAGTAAGATAAATCAGTATTGGTTCTACTTAGGAGGATTGGGGATAAACAACACATGGGAGCAAGATACTATCTGAATCAAGTAATTAAATTTCCAGTTGGCCTTGGAGTTCTTTCTGCTTATATATTTTTTCTAACCTGGAAAGAGTCCTTATTTGATGAGGATGAAGGTGGGTATGGACATTACAAGAAATTCCCTGCTTCCCAGATCATTGTATGATGTCTGTCTTGCTGGTCTTTTCACCCAGTCTTTTTTGTCACCCCAGCTATTTTTGTACTTTGTGAAAGCTTTGTGTTCTGGAGGCATCTGACCAAAACTGCACTTTTAAAACACAGCCCTGGACTAGTGCTATCTGCACCTGCTTGATGAGCCTTCTGCCAGCCTCAGAATAGGCCAGGTAACCTTGAATTTCAAATATCTGGAAATTCTATCTGAAGCGTACCTTTCATACTGCTCACATAAGCACCAGATACCCTGAACTTGTACTGAGTCCAGTGGTTCCTTATTTTTTTGTGTGTGTTGAGTAACATGAAACTTGGTAGGGGCAGAGGGCACTAAAGTTCAAGTACAGGTTCTAATCTAAATTTAAGCAGTCTCATTTACTTCAGGACTTTGAACTATATTCTGATGCCTTTTTGCCCAGCCTATTTCTTGAAGTCAGATTGAGTAGCAGCAGGGTGAAAAGGGTACCTTTTGCCTTCTTGTTGGTAGAAAAACACATACTAGATCCCTGGCCTTGAATTTTAGTGTCATTCTCAGTCTTTTGTTTTGTTTTGCTTTGTTTTTGTTTTTTGAGACAGGATCTTGCAGTGTAGCCTAGGCTGGCCTTAAATTTATGGCAATGCTCCTGCCTCAGCCTCCCAAATGCTGGGATTACAGGCCTGTGCCACCACACCCAGGTTCATGATATCTTCCCTTAGCAACAAGATAATATTTTTCACTCAGTTTTCATGCCAAAATGAAACTCTCTGTCTCTAGCACCTTTAAGTCAGAGTTTCTGAGGACTGCATGTGGGATGTGGCTTGGTTTATACCTGGGTACCTGGCAGATGGGGCAGGTTGAGGAGGGAACTTGATGCTTGGTTCCCAGTAGATGGACTCTGTGTGGTTTGGCACTCAAGTTTTTGTTTTTGATTTTGTTTTTCCTCTAGTTAGATTTACACTGAGGATTTGAGTCACAGCAAGCTATGTGTGAACCTGTGTTGGGAGGTGATGCATTAATAATCACGTAGCTAAAGCCTTGGATCTGCTTGTCCTTCAGCTCCACCTGTAGCACTTTTATGGTAGGTTAGGTTTCTAACTAGTGTTGCTTAGCTTTGGGAAATGGTGCTACTCAAAAACAACTTCTGAACCTTGAGAATAACTCCTTCCTAATGAACTGCCTGGACATGGTGCCTTGTCTCAGGATGCCGTTACAGCCTGAGCTCAAACATCCGCTTCCAGAGAGGGCAAGTTAGCTAGCTGTGAGAGGAAATCCTGATGTTCACAGGGCCATTACCTTATGAGTGTCTGGATGAGGCTTTATTCCAGGAAAGTCCCTTCAGGTGGATTCTGTACATTGAAGAATCTTCCAGTTTCCAAGGTTAAGATTCATGTCCTAAATCTGGCAGACACCAGACATTCACAGATGACCTAGAACAGATTCCAGTTCAACCAATTAAATTCAGAGGACCAACAGAGAAGGTTAGAGGAGAGGTATTTAAAAAGACTTGGCAACTTTACAGATTATTTGTGGAGATCGCAAAGGAAAGAAAAGGCCTGTTTTGTGAGTTTAAAAGTGCCTACATTATGTTTACCTATCACTTCTTAAAAAGTAGTTTAAGTGTAAGCTGAAGACATTGCTTGAATTCTGCCTGGGAGTTGGTGAAAATTCTCATGTGTGCTTGCATAGGAAGGTGAGACAACGTCCCCCGAAAAGGGAGTAGTTATCACGGACCATTTTTAAAAACCCAAGCTAACCAATCCTTTTTTTTTTTTTTTAAATTAAGGGTAGAAATTTTATTTTCCTAAAGCATCTACTCATATTCAAATTGATAAAGAAAACAGTAAGATACTTATTAAATTGGAAGGTCTTTGGCTCTATATTTGCATATCTTTGAGGTATTTTTTTAAAGCAGTGCCTGGGGCATGTGGTTTTCTTCTTTGGTAATAGTCACTCACCTTCCTACTTAAGCAGATGAGATCACCATCAATGCAAATGTGTTAGAACTTGGTGAAATAAAGCTTCGAGTGTGAAATAAAGGTATATTTAAAAATTAAAAAAAAAAAACCTTGTCGGTTATGCTTATTGCTTTGTTTCTCCTCAGCGGTAAACTTATTTTGGGTTTCAGGAGACACATGGAGGCGAGCAGTTGTCACCACTTGAACCTGGGATGCTGTTCTTAAAGGCAGTGGTCTGGGTGGTGATGGTGGGGGTACATCGGAGGCCATTAATCCCTTCCCTAAGTACCCCGCTAACTTAAACTAAGCTTTGTCGTGGACCTCAGACTGTTGGCTAATCCATACCATAGGCGAAGTCTTGAAACGTGTCTTCACAGGTACCCAGTGTGAATCAGCATTCATGACACCAAATCTGTTTCAATAAGAAAACCAAAATATCCCCAGCCATAATATGGGTAGTTACTGCCAGTGTTTCTTCACAACTTTGAAGAAATATAGGTGTGAACAAGAATACCTGAGAAGCTGATAGATGTTTGAAGAGTACGAAGAGATTCTGTAGACCAGTGGTGGCAAACCTGTGGCACGTATGCCATAGGGGGCTGTTTGCTATCGTTGAAAGCTCTGAAAGGTTTACCACCACTGCTGTAGACAGTATATGGTGAACCTCTTTCTTGATTTCTTACATCCGATTTCCAGCAATTCCTCTCTAACCTCTCCATTCTTGTACCTTCTAGGATCTCCCTTCAGGGCTAAATTTCCTAAGTCCTATGGTCTTCACCAAGTTGTGTCTTTTCCCATAAAACCCTTCATCCTTCGGCTTTTGGCCAGACTGCCAACTGTCTCTTCTAAGTCTTTTGGTCTGAGGATGAGCATTCTCTGGGGTCCAAAGGGTTGAATCTATCCAGATCACTTTGCATGGTAACTCAGTAAACCTTTCTTCTTAGAATCCTTTTTCCTTGGTAGCTCCCACCATCCTCATGAGCCTTACAGTTGACCATGTCTGTTTTGCTGTCCACTCATCCTGGTCAGACTGTCTGGATGTAGAACTGCTTTCTCTTTGCTCTTTCTGTGATCACAAGAACTGGAGTCAATGGAAGAGCAGCTTTCCCATCTGGTGTTTGCCTATAAGCCTGCCACACTTGTACTGTTTAAAACCTTCTGAAACAGTCCACTCCTTGCCCTCTTGGTTGCCTTCGATTCTTGCATGGGCTGCTTCACAAGTCTTGTTACTTGTCCCATGTTTTTTGATTCCTCTAAGAGACCTTCCTAAAACCTATATACCATGCCTGTCCCCATACATTAAAACTTGTTTCAGACCAGGTTATGTAAGAGCAGGTATCAGACTGTATGTGCTTTGTGGTCCTTCCCAGCCCCAGACTACTTTACCATTCTGTTTCCTACATGAATACCCTGGCCTGCTGATAGCTTCAGAGCACAGTGCCTCCCAGGCACCCACTACTTGGCACAGCAAGTTTCTAAAAACTCAGTGTCACCACTTTCCCACCACCTTTGGCTTCCCAGGCCCTGTCCCTGTGGCTTCCCCTTCCTCCTGTTTCTATTAGTGTCCTTTACCAGGTTGTATCAGTTCTACACCTACATAGTGAGCACCTGTGT